GGTACGGGGCCAAGCTGAAGACCGCTTGTTTTGCGCATCGAAGTTTTAGGGTTTGTGTTTCCAAGTTTCTGCTGTTTGCAGGTCTTGAGGGTTAAGCAATAAAAAGCATAAAGTGCTCCCAACAAAAAGCATTAAGTGTGCCCATTATAGGGCTTGCCTAAGAGAATCCAAAAAAAAAAAAAAACCCGAAACCCGTTTCCATCAAGTTGATTCTGACTCATAGTGACCCTGTAGAGAACAGGGCTGCCAAGTATTTCTTTTTTGTGCTGAAAACTTTAAGGATGTACTGTGTACCTGGTAGCTTTACCAGGCTGTTTTTAGAAAACTGTTTTTCTCACTGATGTGTAAAAAGTTTGAAGAGAAAATACATGTTGTACTGAAAGCTGTTATGCAGACCAGTCCCACAGCCTTGATCGGGGCGGATTATCCAATAGACAAGGTAAGCACAGTATTTCCCTTGCTTACCAGGTCATCTACAGTGAACAATTTCACATTTTTTCACCACATCAAAGGTTCTGCTTCTAGGTGTGGCTGGCATCTGTCTCTCTCTCCTAACCCCACAGCACCTTCCTACAGAATCCCTGATGGGTGGGTGACCCAGTAAGCAAAGTAAACATGGATTTACTTGTGCTTACTTACTAACCTGTAGTGACAGTTTCACATCTGTGGTGAAACTCACATGATATTGTTCACTACAGATGATCTAGTAAGCAAGGTAAGCATGGTGCTTCCCTTGCCTGTTGGATAACCCACCCTGGCCTTGGTCAAGCTGCTTCTCCTCCCTCCCTTTCCTTTCCTGGGGCGTGGTTTGTTAGCAGTTACATCCTCACGGTTATTTTTGCCAATTCCATTATTTGTGCCTTTGGCAGTTAAAACTGCAGCCATTACCATAAAATCAAAGAGAACTGGTTCTGTGGATTCGGAGTAGCGGTAGCCTCATGGAGGATGAGAGCGTTATTTAGTTTGCTTTTTGATGTCTCTCGTGTTCAATATTTTCTCAGGTCGCCTTGTCTGAGCATCAGCCGTTTTCTTCAGAGAATTCTGTGTTGTGTTACATTGTAAGGAACAAGTGCGTTTTCTCTTCTCAGACCCAGGGGAGCGGGTTTATATTTCTGTACACTGTGAGGAACAAGTGCGCTTTCTCTTCTCAGACCTGGGGTAGCGGGTTTATAGTTCTGTACACTGTGAGGACCAAGTGCGCTCTCTCTTCTCAGACCTGGGGTAGCGGGTTTATATTTCTGTACACTTGTTTTCAGATATAACGCTAGAATAGCCCAATAAAGCTCCCCACCCCCCAAGGTAGATCTGAATGACTGATTTGGTTTGTGTAGAATATTTTCTGGAACAAAACCCTTTTAGTGACATGGCGATATCAGGTGCTTTGTATTCAGAGGACATATAGCAGGAAATTGTGGTTATCTTTATAGAATAAATCTGTTTCCAGTTGGCAGTTATGAGTACTTACAACCCTTTGATGGAACGCGTTCAGCTGTGATCAAGATCCTCTCACTTCATCTTAGGGTTGGATTGAATAGTATTTAGGACACTTGGTGACATTCCATTTTGATTGAGAGAAATGTTAGAGGGCCTTACCACTAACTGGAAACCCTGATGGCACAGTGGTTAAGAGCTACGGCTGCTCACCAAAAGGTGGGCACTTTGAATCCACCAGGCGCTCCTTGGAACTGGATGGGCCAGTTCTATTCTGTCCTGTAGGGTCGCCATGAGTCGGAATTAGACTCGACCGCAGCAGATTTTTTTTTTTTTTAACCACTGACTAATAAATGGGTGTGTTTTGTCACGTCCAGTGAACTCCAAAGAAGCTCTTCTTTTAAATGGTTAGGCACGTCATTGCCCTCTGCTTCCCCCCACAAACATGGTTTGTGCATTTGGGTGGAGCAGCTCACTGAGGGCGGTGCTGTCTGTGCTGGTGGGATTTCTGACTCCATGTTTTGGTTAACCACAGGCTGTATCTTCCTTTAATGAAAACGGTGACAAAGCTCTGTGACTTAAGGTCATTGTTCACATGCAAATATTCATTGGCCATTTTTAATCATGAATATATCTTCAGAACTCAAATGTGGTTTCAGGGAGTTTATTAACAAATGTGCAATGGTAAGATTAAAATAGGGTAATAAGATAATTTTTGGAAAAATATTTTGAAATTATAATGTGAAAAAAATCACAAAATATTTAGAGTTTGAGAACAAGCTACTACTTTTGAAATTTACAGATTTGTTCTCTCATTCCTGAAACATTTGTTTTCTGCTCGTCAAGTGTAACCACAGGGTATAAAGGGGAATGAGACAGTGTCTCCCCTGAAGGAGCTGACAGTGCAGTTGAGAGGGTGAGCAGTTCTAGGACTGTGAGTTGAAGGCGGTGGTAGCGTGGCAGATTCGGGGTTACCCTGGACGCTGCCAGCGGTGAAGGGGCACTCAGAGGAAGGCCACCGGGCATCCCCGCTCTCCACGTCACTCAGCCTGGGGGAATCTTGAGTGTCTGACTTGAGAACGTAACCCATGTGGCTGTTAACTCCAGGAGCAGTGGTGACAGAGCAAAGGGAAGAGAGGGAAGAATTGTTCATGGATTAGCGATTCACATCTTCAGAGACAATAAGGTGAGGTTTAATGTGACAAGTAGGATACTTTTTCAGTCTTTTAATTTAGATTGACAGTTTTTTTGAATAACTTTAGACTATGACTAGCTGAAATCTTCTCTTCGATCAAGAGAGGCAGTTAAAAGAATTACAGTAAAACCTGTGACAGCTGGAACCTGTGTAAGGTGGAAACCTGGCAGAGAAGGAAAACTCAAATATTTTCCACTAAAACGAGTAATAGAAAAATGGCAAGACTGCGCCCTGTCCAAGGTGGAAAACCTGTGAGACCTGGAAAAACAAGGCAGCCTCGTCAAGTTCCAGCTCTCACAGTTCTCATTATATTATGTATGCTTTTATTTCCTCTTTCGTATAAAAGTTTTCAAACACATACAAAAATAGAACAAATAGTATAATGAACTTCCATGTCCCCATCAGAGACCCAGCCATCACACGGCGAGGCTTGTTACGTCTGTACCCCTGCCTGTCCCCTCCCTCACCCCGTTATGGAATATCATCTCCTTTGTAAATATCTCAACATTGCTTATCTCTAAAAATAAGACTGCTTTAACATAATCGTGTAACCAGACTGTTCCAGGTCTGCTTGGCGCAGCCATAGAGACATGGAACAGGTGAAAGCGAAAGCAGAAGCTTATTTGGTTGGCCAAGCAAAGGAGCACACGGGACTTGGGTCACCCAGGTGGCTCCCAGAACAGTATCCCAAGGAGTTTATATGGGTGAAGTCAGTCAGGTCTGGGGTCTTCAGGAATGCCTCGAGGTGGGGCCAGCTTGCTGATGGGTCTGGCCCGAAAAGGTGTTCCCGGGGTCGTTGGGCCTTTCTGAGCTTGCTCAGTCTATGAAGGGGAGGGTCTGTCAAACTGGATCTTAGGCTCAGACTCCTCACTTCTGAAAGCCTTCCCCCAATCTTGGTCCGCTAGAGTTTGCTTCTGCTGGGTGGGAGAAGAGTTCTGAGGTCACCCAAAGGACAGGTCGATGGTTCTTTGCATGTCAGGCAGGCCAGCTCTAGTTCTTGCCAGTTTCAGCTGCTCCTGTGACCCCAGTCTCTTGTTTTCCTCAACTTGACCAGAAACAGGAAGTATGCCTAAATAAGGAGATAGCTTAAAGACAGGGAGTTAGTTCCTATATCACAGAAGACCACAGGCACAGTCCTTTGCCTATTCAAGATGGCGGGCAGGCTGCCGGTCTCAACCACAGTACCATTATTATACCTAAATATGACCAAAAACCAAACCCATTACTGTCAAGTCGATTCCGATTCATAGTGATCCTATAGGACACAGTAGAACTGCCCCGTAGGGTTCCCAAGGTTGTAATCTTTACAGAGGCAGACTGCCATATCTTTCTCCCACCAAGTGGCTGGTGGGTTCAAACTGCTGACCTTTCACTGGGCAGCTAAGTGCTTAAACACTGTGCCGCCAGGGCTCCTTATACCTAGGTATAACAATTATCATAATTTTTTAATACTCATTAATATAGAAAGATGTTTTAAGGTTAAGCTTCTTAGATTAATGAGTGAAATAGATGTTAAGCCATATATTTCTGTAATACGTAGTTTACTAATTTCTAGTTTACTTAGACTGTATGGTTTTACTCTGTTTTCCTACTGTCTGGTATTTAGTTAACAGACTGCCTTAGTTCACATTCATATGTTATTATTTTATTGGATACTTAATTTACTACTTTTAATCCCCTTTAAGTGAAAATTTACAAAAAGCTGTAGGTACACATCGTTGGCTTATTTTTAAGCACTCCCAGAAAGAACAGAGAAGTAACTTTAGAAAGTAAAGTGTTTACTCCACAGACAGAATTGGCATGTCTTGTGGATCTGCTGGAAGAGGAAAGTATTTAATCTTCTATCTGTCAGTGAGTGGAAGGTGGAGCTTTTGGTGCTCACCCAGAAAGGAGGAGGCAGGCTTTCTTACTCAGGTGCAGAAATAGAGCATTGTTGCTGTAACTAGGTCATTGTCCTTACACAAGCTGATAAAATAACAGATGGTCTCCAGTTCCTCTTCTCTATCCTCCTTTTGTTCTCTTGGGCAGAGAGGTTATGCGAATGAGCAGAACTGTTCTTGCTATTTTTGTAATAAATTTTTAAAAGCAGGCTATATACGTTGCACAGAAATTCCAGTAGTATCCCGTTGCTCCTTCAAATTGCTTTGCCACGCTACCCTGCGAGATGCAAACACGTCTGTCCTTGTAGAACTGAAAAACAGCGGCAACTTCACAACACAAGCAGTCCAGGTTGTGTCTTAGACATCTCTTTCCACCTTGTTGAAAACATTTTGTTAGCTGCTCTTACTACAGATGTGTAGAATTGATTTTTTAACTAATACATTTTTCGTTTAATTTGTTTCTGCTAATGCTATGATTTTATTCTCAACTACAGTGATATATTGTGACTTCTGTGGCTCGAGGCTGCAGGACGAAAAACAAAGTGGCTTAATAAGCAAGACTTCTCAGAGGAAGACACCCCTAAGACATTCGCCAGAGGCCAAAAACAGCCTCAAATTTGAGTTTACATTTAAACCTAAAAAGAATCGGGCTGGTATGGTAATGTAATGGCTACTGAAAGTTTCGCAGTATTCTGTTAATGCATCTGTATTTCAGCAACATTGTGGAGTAAAATCTGAAACTGCCTTTTTTCTCGTCTGTCTCTCTTTTCTAGTCTTGACATAAAACTGTTCAGGAGATCTTTTATAATGTCAACATTGTGTGGATTAAGAGAAAGGGATGTCTTGTTTTGGTTAATAGTCTATTCATTACATCAAATAAAAACAGGAAGCAGTCCACAGAAAGCATTTTGTACATCACTGAATGGAACTGGTTTTTGCAGAAGAGGGATTTAAATCCTAGATCTTTTCATTAAGTCTTTATTTGAAATTATGAAGTTCATTTTCATGGGAGTATCCTTTGGTAAGGGGTGTGTGTGTGTGTATAGGGGAGATGTTCTTTTCTTTGACTTCTGTATCGATTTCAATTTTCAGTTTATTCTAAAAGATTACTGTTTGTAATCAGAAATTGATACAGTTAGCTTCTAAACACCAGAGTAGATCACAGTGCTACAATGTGGTTTGAGGAAAATAAAAAGAGAGTATAGCCATGGTGTTTTCAGATTTTTTAATAAAAAGTTAATTACCTGGATTTAAATTACGTTTGTCGTAAGCGTATTTTATGGGAAGTGAAAGCAGGCTCTTTAGAGATGTTGTGGGTGATTCTCCTTATATTCCTCCTTGTTTATTTGAAGCATTGAAGTAAAACCAGATCGTTTTTATATTGGTATTGGGTATCTAGGAGGTGGAATTGACTCAACGGCAGTGGGTCTGTTTTTTTCTTTTTAAAGGTTGACCAAACAAGAATCAGGTTTTTTTTTTAAAATGAATCTCTGCCATAATCAGTGTCTGTTGATTCAACAAAGATTTCTGCCTGCTTCCTTCCTTGTTAAGCATTGGAGATTCAAAGTTGAAAAGATTCTTGCCTTCAAGAGGTGACAGTCTAGTAGAGAGAGAAAAACAAAATAGTAAGGCAGTCTGTTTAATGAGGGCGTATATGCAAGGGCATTTGAAACAGAACGGAGTCTCTGAGTTGCCTCAGGGCTGTTAGGAAAAGTACTTTGAAGACTTTGAGTTAATGGTCACTTTATAAACCTTCACATGAGGTGCAGGATAGGATCCATTTGTTGATTGCTCATATGTGCCAGGCACACTGCTGGATAGTAGGTATACATGTGTAATAGATGTTATGTATATATAATAGACATATTGTATAATGTATGTGTGTGTGTGTGTGTGTGTAGGGAGGGGGGCAGAAGGGGCAGGACCTTCATGGAGTTTGATCTAGTGTCGAAGAGATAGGCATTTCACAAGCAGTAACCATCATGATCACAGGGACATAATTTAGATTGGTGAACCCATTGCCATCAAGTTGATTCCAGCTGATAGCAACCCTATAGGACAGAGTAGAACTGCCCCATAGGGTTTTCAAGGAACAGCTGGTGGATTTGAACTGGGACCTTCGGGTTAGCAGCCGAGCTCTGAACCCCTGAGCCAGGGTGTAGAAAGGGCTAGAATTATCTGAGATAGTGACTGTAGAGTTTCAGACTAAAGGATGAGGAGGTGAGACCCACTATGAATAAAGGGGGGAAGAAATTTCCAGGGAGAACAAGGCTCTGATGCACTGAAGAACTTGGCAGGTTTGAAGTAACTAAAGGAGGCCCATGTGGCTGGAACATGGTGAGGCTGGAGAAGTTGGCAGAAGAAGAGGGCCTTATGGGACATTGTGCAAAGTTCACATTTCCTTTTGATTGTACTGGAAAGCCAGCAAAGGATTTTAAGTAGTAGGTAGGAGGGAGCACCATCTGATTGGTAATTTTGGAAGATCACTGGTTGCTGGGTGTTGTGGATTGAATTTTGTCCCCCCAAAAATACGTGTTGTAAACCTACAGGGTCCCTAAGAGTCAGAATTGACTGCACAGCAGTGGGTTTGTGCCTGTGGTTATAATCCCATTTGGGAATGGGTTGTCTTTGTTATGTTAGTGACACTGGATTCATGTAGAGAGTGTTTTGAGTCGGTCTCTTTTGAGATAGAAAGAGATAAGCAAGCTGGAAAGAGAGGTGCCAAGCCATATGAAGATCACACAAGAGCAGAAGCTCAGAAGAGATGAAGACTTTCCCCCAGAGGTGGCACCCTGAATTCAGACTTGTAGCCTTCTAAACTGTGAGAAGATTTTCTATTCGTTAAACACCACCTGTGGTGTTCCTGTTACAGCAGCACGAGGTAACGAAGACGCTGGGTGAGTGCAAAAGGATTGTAGAAGGGCTAAGCGGAAGAGAGAGCGCTTGGAAGGGTTGTAGTAGTTCAGACGTGACAGAGAGCAGGACTGAGGGAGACGGTGGTGACAGAAGTGAAAGTGGATTCCAGAGGGGACTGGAGGCTGAAGTGACAAGGTTTGGAGATAGCTTAGATGTTGGAGGGAGTAATGTGAAGATGGAAATCCGTCCATTAGGTTTGGCAACATGTAACCATTGGTCCATTGGTGACCGTGAGAAGAGCCGTTTCAGTGGAGTGAGGGAACATAAGCCATATCTGCATGTATTATTATTAATCTTCTCAGCAGCCCTTAGTATTCCTGTCACTATTGACTGAGTTTGTGAGATGTTAAGTAACTTTCCTAAAATTAACCAGCAGTTCTAAGTTCTACTCTGTCCTGTAGGGTCGCTGTGAGTCGGAATTGACTCGACGGCAGTGGGTTTGGTTTTTTTTAGTAAGTTGTAAAGTGGTGTTTGGATATTACCTTCTTGACATCAGAGCCTGTGCTGTTTCTGCTGTGTTAGGCTGCCTCTTGGGAACGGAGTGACGTGATATGGGGTAGCCTGCATTCCCGAGTTCCTGCTTCTCTGGACACTTCAGAATAAGGGCTATAAAGCCCCTCTGCCCCCTCTTTCTATACGTGGGCACATGAGGCTTTTTTTTTAAAACCACTTTATTGAGGTGTCATTTACAAAGTCACTCATTTTAGGCATATAATTCAGCAATAGTAAATTTAAAGTTGTGCGACCACCACCGCAGTCCAGTTTTAGAGCACGTCCATCACCCCAGAAAGTTCCTTGTGCCGGTTTGCGTTCAATCTCTATTCCTGCTGCCAGCTCCAGGCGACCACTGCTGTGTTTTCTGGCTCTGTAGATGTGCCTTTTCTGGACATTTGTTATAAATGGAATCATACGATATGTGGTCGTTTTGCATCTGGCTTCTTTTACTTCACATAATATTTCTGAGGTTCATCTGTGTTGTAGTGTTTCTTTTTATTATTTGATTATTATTCAGTTGTTTGAATATAGCATATTTGTTTATCCATTCACTAGTTGATGGACATTTGGGTTGTTTTCAGTTTGGGACTATTATGTATGGTGTTGCTATAAACTTTTGGGTGCAAAACTTTGTGTGGACATGTGTTATCATTTCTCTTGTGTAGAAGTGAAATTTCTAAGAGTGGAATTTTTTTGTCCCGTGATAAGCTTATGATTAGCTTTTTAAGAAACTGTCGAATTATTTTCCAGAGTGGTTGTACCATTTTACATTCCCACCGTCAATGAATGAGGGTTCTAGTTTTTCCTCATCTTTGCCCACACTTTTATTGTCTCTCTTTTTAATACAGCCATCCTAGTAGGTGTGAACTAGTATCTCACTGTGGTTTTGATTTGGACTTCCCTAGTGACTGATGGTGTCTGGATGGTGCTAACAGTTAATGCATTTGGCTGCTAACCAAAAGGCCGAAGGTTTTGAGTTCAACCAGAGGTGCCTCGAAAGAAAGGCCTGGTGATCTACTTCAGAAAAAACAGCCACTGAAAATCCTATAGAGTACAATTATTCTGTCACACATGGGGTCGCCATGAGTTGAGATCAGCCTGTATACAGCATCTTCATTGCCTTCCTCCTCCTCCATGAGACTTTGGAAAACATTTAGAAAAAGACAAGTTATTGATTCATCCATACATCTATTCATTCATTTCTTTAAAAAAAAAAAATTATGGAAGTACTTACCCTATGCCCAGCACTCTGCCAGGCCTGTAGAAGGTCAAGTACCTTCGCTGTGGGAAGGAAAATGTTTAGGTGAAAGTGGGTTGTGATCCAGGTCATGGTAAAGTGGGTTGTGATCCAGGTCATGGTAGTCTGGGGCTGACTCAGCGGTTCTGTTAGTGCAAGAAGTTATCGTTAGGGAAACTGAGCCTGGTGAGTACAAGAGAACAGTAAGAGTAATAGAAACTGAGCTATAATCCACTAATTCAACAAAAGATAATTGTGAGGTGTTATCAGGGTTAACTGCGTTTATTTTAGTTCTGAAATACAAAATGTAGACGAACCTCTTCTGTGGTTTTCCCAGATGTCCTTTAATTGACTCAGTGAATTAGTAGAAGTAAATTACTATTTCTCAAAGGGATCGCAATAAATCTAATTCATTTTATCTTTCAAAATACAACAGAAAGCACTGGGATTTCCAAGCAAATGGTGAAAAGTGTCTTGCTCAGAAAATGAAAACGTGTGTTATTTTTACTAAGTGCTTTTCACTCTGTCTGTGAACTTGATGCCTGGGAACATACTTCCTTTTCTTCAGTTTTCTGAAGTATAAGAGAGAATCATAGGTTTCTTTTGATTTACGGCATAGAGAGAAGTAAATGAAATGCTGCCATAAATAACAAAAGAAATAGAACGTGATGTTGAAGTCCCTTTGCTGGGTCATTTGAGCTTCTTAATGTCCTAAATGATAAACGTGTGGGAGCTTTTTGACCATCAAAATTAAGAGGCTGTTATAAATTGGAAAATACTTTATCTCTTGTATGCATGTCATGGTTATAAATGGAAGGAATTAGGGTTAGGAAATAAAGGAAAACAGAAAAAAAAAAGATTCATAAATTATCAGGTTCTGGGTCTTTTTTTTAAGGGAACCATGTGGACTTTGGTAAAGTAAGTGGAGGAAATGTTAGCTCAGCTTGTAAGTTATGTTCAATGTGATGAGCAAAGAAACAGGCATTACCTGTGTGTGGCCTCAAGAGAGGAACAAATCTGTTCTCTGGGTGGGAGAACAGGTAGGTAAATGACATCCAGTGGCCTGAGAGAACTTTTTAACCTGCATATGCCCGAATTTCAGGGTTCATCCAGCCTCTGTGGCTTCAGAAAATACAGATTCCATGAGAATTTGAAATTCTGTTCTGCATTTTCTCCCTTTTGATCAGGATTTTTCTGTAGACTCTCTGGTCAAAACGTTCAGTAATGGCAGCTGGGCACCATCCAGTTTTTCTGATCTCATGGCAAAGGATGCTTTTAGCCACACATTCCATTTCTTCCTCTTGTTCCTGACTCTTCCTCCTTTGTTGCTCCAGGCAAACAGACACCAAATATTGTACCTTGGATGGCTGCTTGGAAGCATTTAAGACCCCACTGCACAGCCGATTGATGTAATTGCTGTCAATAAGTTGTATGCCTGTAAAAAGCTGAATCGGCAAAAAGTTGTGTGATAGAAATATTTACAACAACAACAGAAGCAGCTGCTGAGGCTGCTTATGTACAACCAGATACCTCGTAGGATTTGGTTTCTTGGTTTGGGGGGTTGGGGTGCTGGTTTCATGGGGCATCCCAGGTAATTAGCTTAGTATCATGGAGCTTCTGTTCTCTCCCCTAATGGGCTGTGTAATACCAGGCGTCTTTTTTTTTTTTTTTTTAAACTCTCCTGCTCATGATCATGTACAAAAAGACTAACTGATGAAATACAAGTAATTTTTCTAAACTTATTTCCTGAACGCTGTATCTTCTTATTCCCCTTTCATAATTAATCATTGATTTGCTCGTTTTACAACCACTTCTGAGTTCCTACTTTTTAACCTAGAACAGTCGAGGACCACAAAGTGCTCCAAGAAGATAACCTATTTCTCTGCAGTGGTTTGGTTGACAAGCCTTCATTCTACGGAGTACTGGCATGTTACCAGGAGAGTTCATGAAAAGGACATTATCACAATTTTCAGAAGACTCTTAGCTTAGCTTGTGAGTTATGCTTCTCTAACAACAAAATAGGCTTCTTGTGTGTGAATCGCTGCTATTTTAATTGGGTACATACGATTGAATTTCCATAATCTCTTGCATGTTTTGAACCTCTCATTGAGAGAATAAATACTGTCTTACAAGTTGTGTGCTATTCTAAATAACCTCTCCATAATGTAGTCTCTCTGCCTACTCTCAGTTGTTGCTAACCCCAAGGAACGGTTTAGTACATCATTTTGTGGATATGAATTTTGGGTGAGTGGTTCAGAGGCTGTATTTTATTGATGATCTGGGAGTGATTTGTTACCTTTGGAATGCTGTTTTTAATGCCTTACAGGTTTCTCTGCCATAGTCCTTGGGTAATGGCATTTTTATACTAAAATGGGTCCTGCGAAGTGCAGGGTTTTTTTTAGGCCATTTGCTGTGCTCATTATATGGAGCAGTTTGACGTCACTGTCTGCTGCCTTTTCCAAAAGACTAGCAGCCACTTCCTGCTCCCACTTTTCACCTCGTTGATTGTCCGTGTTCCTTCTCAGCCCCTATAATGGCATGCTGGCGTTTCCTGAGCTGCTGTGTGTCTTCTGCATCGCTGCATCTTGAACATCCGGCCTGCTGTGACTGCCCTCTGCAGCTTTTTGGTCCAGCAGCTAATTGAAGGCCTGCCACCATCCGCTGCATGACCGTCATTCTCCTGCTTCTGACATTTGACACTTACTGTGCAGCCTCATGTCATGCACTGACTCAGGCTGCAGGCGTGAAAGACCGTCTCTGCCCTCTAGGCCCTCAGTCTGAGAGAATGGTGGAGGTGGCAGCAGTGAAGATGGGGTTACAGTGGGAGCAGGGAGGAGAGAGCTTCAGGCCACCTGGTTTTGTCAGAGAAGGGGCCAGCTGAGCTGGGCCGTGGGGGACGGGCAGAAGTTGGCTGCGTGCCGGTAGAGAGCCAGAGGCCTCTGCAGGGAGAGAGAACGGCCTGCTTGGAGACGTGAGGTGCTGCTGGTCGGTTGTTTGTCACTGGGGAAGCCTTTTCTTTGGGACACTTTTCGGAAGAGTGGTTTAGTGTCTGAGCTGTTCTTACCAAGTCTCCACTGCCCATCGTGTCGTTGAAGGCCCAAGAGAACAGGCAGGCCGAGGATAAAGTCCCCTCTGATCGGAGCACAGTTCTGAACCAGTAGTGCATCTCTGACAGTTCTTTCTGGCCGTCTTTCTTTCTGGTCCTCTTGTGGGTAGGCACGAGCACCTTCGAGCGGCCAGAGTCCCTGCGAGGCCGCCCCCCCCCCCGTCTGCTCCTGCGCCGTTCTTCAGAATCGTCTTTCTTTCTGCCCCTTTCCCCTGTATCTATAAAGCCGTTAATCTTAGAGAGTGTTGGGGGAAAGCAAGCAGAATCACCTAATTCACATTAAATTTTGGGTGTTAAACTTTTCTCAGCCCTTTCCCGTCAAGTTAATTCGGACTCATAGCGACCCTGTAGGACAGAGTACAACTGCCCCAGAGGGTTTCCAAGGAGCCGCTGGTGGATTGGAACTGCCAACCTTTAGTTAGCAGCCGAGCTCTTAACCACTGCACCACCAGCTCCCAATTACAGTCTTTTACTTTCAAGTATTTTACTTGTCTAAAAGGGACACACAACCCAGATAAAGGTCTAATCGGTACAATTTCTGGAAGTATTACCAAGTGAAGTGAGAAAATCCTGACTGTGCGGCAGGCTGCCCCACACGTCCACAGCTCCCCTAGCAGCTCCTTCTTTATGCAGCTTCTCCTCTGCTTCTGGGCTCCTGTCTGTCTCCTGCCGTCCCGGCTGGCCTGCCACCAGCCTCCCTGGAAGCAGACTCCAGATCTCCTCCCCATCTCATTGGCTGGCGGTAAGGGACTGGGGTGGAAGGAGAGGAGACCAAGGCAACCATTGAGAATACTAATTTATTCTTAAGTCGTTCATTTGTATGCCCTCCGCAGCTTGTACTAGGAAGTGATAAATCCCATTTCTAATATCTTTTCTGGAAATAACGAGGTTTCCAACAGATATGTTCAGCGTTCGAACGTGCTGAGATTTGACTGTTACTGAACCCCTTAGAGGCAGAATATTTCCCCTTTGTGAGTTGAGGACATTTTTAACAAGAGCCCTTTAACTCTAAAAGCAAGTTGAACTTTGTGTCCTATATGATAAATAAATGTTTTGTATTATAAATATATGCAGTATTCTGTTTCACATGTCTGTAAATATGTGGAAAATAAAATTCCAAGTCAGTAAATTACCAGTGAAAAGCACTCACTCTTGAGAAGATTGGAAACCGTTGTCCTAGCCTGCAATTTTTGAAACACTTGATTTGAGATCAAGGCAGCATGAGGAAAAACTTCTCTAAAGGTGGTTGTTTTGAATGTTATTAAGCGTTCTTCCATGATATTTAAAGTTCCAAGAAGTCTAACACCTGAATTATTTTAATTAACACCGAGCGTTATTAATGTGTAATCTTAAACTAAATACAGTTGTGATTTCCTGGCGTCCCGCTGATGGACAGTGGGGAGTTGCCTGTATAAACGGTTAGGTCCTCTCTTCAAACCAGGAACTCACCTTTGGACCCGAACCGTTCATCAAGCGGAGGTGGGACTGTTGAAGCCAGAGCTGGCTCTAGTGGCAGTGGGTAGTCCCTGCCCTAGATGATGAAGTGCTTCCTCACCTCAGCTTTGCCCCGAGCTTTAAAGCCTTTTGGATTTGACAGTGTCCTATTAAAATGCACATGTTCTTGGAGGTACTAACCCTAGAACCACAGTCTCAGCTCTGAAGAGCTGGGAGGGATCTTGTCCTGTTAGAACTTTTCGCAGGGATTAGTCAACAGCTAGCTGAGTATAAAATGCTGGAATAAAAGATAACACAGTGTAGTGAGGGCAGGAAAGTTAGCACCAAGAGAGAAGGCCCAGGGCTACCGTGGGAGGAGAGGGGAGGAGGCAGCCCAGTGACCTTCTTGTCCAGAGCTAGCCTGCCTGCTTCTGGACTTCTGTATTTCAAATATTCTTTACACAGAAGAAAACCATGTTTGTGTCTCAGATAGAAACACTCCAATTATAGACCCTCAGATGGCATTCCTTTGACACATTCTTTGGAGTCAGACGTAAATTTCTAAGTGGTGTCACTTGTGACTTCATTTTATTTTGCCTCTGACTCCTGAGATAGCAATCGGAGCTGTGAAGTTTCTTCCCCATTTTGATAGACTCATCTCAGAGGGTTGCTGTAAAAGTTAGTTCACGTTTGTCAAATGGTTGCCTGTTCCTGGATAAGTAAGATACAGAAATAGAAATTTTTAATAGTTAATGAAAATTTACACTTATTGTCCCTCTCAAGGTCACAGCCTTGAAAACCCTGTGGAGCAGTTCTGTCTGCACACGTGCTGTCTCCATGAGTCAGGATTGAAACCGACAGCAGCTAACACAGCAACAACCGTCTCTCTCTCAGATGTTTTTCCCTCATGATAAAAAAACAAAAAACCTGTGGGCTTCAACACCATGCCTCATCTCTACCCAACAGACAGTTTTTGTGTTTTTAGTAAACATCGCCTCATTTTTCCTGTGGCTGTGTGCCGTCGAGTCGATTCTGACTCGTGGCAGCCCTATAGTGTGGAAATACTAACTTCTTTCTCGTTTTTCCCCGTCCTCCAGTCTCTTTAGACGGGGACATGAGTTTTGGCTATTTCTTAAGATCCTTTTGAAAAATAGCAGCCAGTCTAACTCACTGTTACCATAGAAATGAGAACTGTCTTACCGAGAAAATCCCGTCAACACCACGGGTATACTGAAATCGAAGTGTCAGGGGCAAGGGAGTGCTTTTGGGTTTTGTGACCTTAGGAGAAGTCATTCCTTTCTTCCTTCCAGATGTTAAAGATGGGAAGAACTGTGTTTTAGTCTTAAAGTTTGGAATTTAGGAATAGAAAACATTGATTAGAAACCTAG